AAGTCAATGGGAGCTTCTCATTGTCAAAGCAGAGCAAAGATTCTACCATTGAATTCAAGGTGCTTGGACAGCCACCTGTAGGTGCTAGCACATCACAGCTAGCAAGCACTACAAGTTATGCCCAGAAAAGCCTTTTAATATAAAATAAGCCAGAGTTAAAAATCTCGAGCTAATGCCTATCAAACCAGCATTCTGAGTTGAAATGATACATTTGAAGACTTTGTGACAGAATGAAAGCAACAGCAAGGAAAATTCCAATGCCTCGGGAAAAAAATGAGGGGGTTAATAACTTGCAAAGAAAAGTCCAGCATGCAGATGACTTCTTATTTTTCAGTTCAAGCAGAAAGTTAACAGGGAGAAAGTTCAGTTCAGTCCAGAGCAGCAGGCAAACAGTTCAGCTGTTGTCTCTTTCCCTTTTCAGGTTAAAAAAATCTTGATAAAAAGTTTGAGGCTTGGGAGTTCTTGTAATTCCCTAATAATAACAATGTCTCAAAAACATAACAAAAGATATAAAATATATAAAATAACTTGGCAACAAAGATTTTGTATCAGAAAACCTATGTAAATGGTATTTTAAAAGGAGTTAGATTTCTAAAAAACTATAAAAACTGTATAAAAGGAGTAAGAGTTAAAAAGCAAAGGAGCAGCAAATGAGCAGCAAGAGAAGAAATGCTGCTGCTTCACCCTACTGGAACCAGAATCCCATATCCCACCTAATGTTGTGTCATCCGCAAATCTGACAAGCATTCCCTGCACTCCCTCATCCAAGTCATTAACAAAAATGTTGAAGGGCACCAGGCCCAGGACTGAGCCTTGGGGTACCGCACTCCTTACCTTCAGTTTGAGAAGGAGCCATTGATAAGCACTCTCTGAGTACAATTCTGTAACCAGCTGTATATCCCCCTGAGAGTTTGCTAATCAGAATATAATGGGGCACTTTGCCAAAGGCTTTGCTGAAGTCAGAATTTTATTTATTTATTTATTTATTTATTTATTTATTTATTTATTTATTTATTTATTTATTTATTTATTTATTTGATTTATACCCCGCCCATCTGG